AATATTGTCTATTTTAAGATAATTCATAAAAATATTGTAGTTAATAATCAAATTTTTTTGAAAAATAGCTTTTAAGTAACTTGTTCATTTTTGATACTTTGAGGTTAACTTAAATAAGAAGAAATCTCAATTTTTTGCTTTATAACCTAATCAATTATGATATATAGCACGATAGAGGACGTTTTTATCTTTAGTTTGGTGCAAAAATAACACCTTAATTCCTAAAAATAAAGTTGATATGATTTTTTGAGATTATCAATCATTTTGAGGTTAATGAAAAGTTTAAAAAATCGTACAACCTGTATTTGTTGGAATTAACTGGTGATTAATATCGCAAATTGACGCTAAAATCGCTTATTTTATGGTAATTCATTAAAATATTGTAGTTAATAATCAAATTTTTTTGAAAAATAGCTTTAAAGTAACTTGTTCATTTTTGATACTTTGAAGTTAACTTAAATAAGAAGAAATCTCAATTTTTTGCTTTATAACCTAATCAATTATGATATATAGCACGATACAGGACGTTTTTATCTTTAGTTTGGTGCAAAAATAACACCTTAATTCCTAAAAATAAAGTTGAAATGATTTTTTGAGATTATCAATCATTTTGGGATTAACGAAAAGTTTAAAAAATCGTACAATCTGTATTTGTTGGAATTAATTGGTGATTAATATGGCAAATTGAAGCTAAAATCGCCTATTTTATGATAGTTCATAAAAATATTGTAGTTAATAATCAAATTTTTTTGAAAAATAGCTTTAAAATAACTTGTTCATTTTTGATACTTTGAGGTTAACTTAAATAAGAAGAAATCTCAATTTTTTGCTTTATAACCTAATCAATTATGATATATAGCACGANTGATTGAGTTAATTTTCGAAAATCAACAATTTTGACGTTTAATCGATTTAGAGCAGTGGTGTCCACTAATTTTTGATCAAAATCGACTTTTTATATAAATGTCGACTCAAAACGCTGATCGACGTTATGGACACCACTGGTCTATATGATTTTGGATCAGTGTAATCTCTCCTCCGAGGTTTGGGGATGAAGGCTACTTTTACTTCTCTCCAGGATAAGGGGACATAGCGGAATGCTAAGCAACCTTTGTATATTTTTAGTAGGTGTGGTAGTAATTCCGCCATACACCACTGTATGTAGAATACATGCAGAATACGATTAGGACCGGCAGATTTAAATGGTGAGAAGGACTGTATGGCCCAGCCAACTCTGGTTTCAGTCACCACAAGATTAACTAGCCTTCAGTCCTCTACCTTTTGATTCCATACAGGTTCTTCTTCCCATATCCGGTTGTTGGTAAAGGAACACTTTTGCTAGCCCTACAGCCGACGGTGTGTCCTCAATATCTTCTCAGAATTTTTGCCAAGCTAATCTCTTCCTCTATCTTAAAGCTTTTTATAATTGGACTGGTGTAGTTTATAAACTTTCCAGTCTTCTTCTTTTCTCTTTTCTACTTTCCGGCCTCTTTTTAAATATTATTGGTAGTGTGTTTTGATGCTGTCGAAGACCATTGGAATTCCACAGCATTACTTTTAATTGCTGCTTTTAGACATTTTGATTTCTTTCTTATTTTTTATTACGATAATAAAAATCTTTTTTTGATTTAGTTTGAATTTATCCAGTAGTATTGGTCAGTTTTAGCTAGCTGATTAAAAATGTTCTGCATTATACAAAAAAGTATCGATGCAAAACTCTGGAGCAATATTCACGCAAACAAAACGAGAGCATATTAATCACGAATACGGCCTGAAAAGTGGATCGGTTCACTTTTAATATACCCGCACGAGGGGTCGAGCGGAAAATATAAAATAAAACAACGCTGAATGTCGAGAGAGCATATTAAAACGCAGATCACGGATTAAATAAATTTTTTAACGTCCCATACTTTTTAATAAACCCACCATTCAATTTAACCCTTTAAAACATGTAGCGAATAAAACCTAAATAACGTTTAATAGCATCAAAAATTAACAATTCAAATATGGTTGAAGAGATTTTCCGGACATTTCCCAAGTTAACTGTCAAATAAACCATTTATAGAGGTGCAGTTGCGAATTAACAATTCTTCGCGGGAGAAACGAAGTTAATTATTCTCGAAGTGATTCCCCTACTTGAATATGCAATGCCATTGAAGGAAAATTGTCGGGGAAATTCTCGACGCCGGTCAATTCGCAATTTCACAGAGGAAGTCGATTAGCCGTAACGCCGAAATTGTTTTCACGCGGGCAACTTCGATAACTTCTCGTTCTCGTCGGTGTTGCATAAAACACACGGATCGAAAAACTTTTTCCTCGGAACCATCCCCCTCGTTGTCGACGTCGACGTTCCAAATGGCCCTCTTTTCTCCTATGTACTGAACAATGCTCCACCTGTTTTTCCATATTAGCTGCTCGTAAAATTATGACGAAACTTGATGCATTGCCAACAAGGGAAAAAAGGAGAAAAGGTAGACTTGAAGAAAAATTGCAAGAAAAGTTTTTTGTAATAATAATCATAATATCTTTATTGTGTTTCTAAGAATAAACAATTTTCAAATTGCAAATCAAAAAAGGCTTTTTTTCAGAACTGTATTTGATAAACGAATGAACTCATTTTGAGGTTAATGAAAAGTTTAAAAAATCGTACAATCTGTGTCTGTTGGAATTAATTGGTGATTAATATCGCAAATTGAAGTTAAAATCACCTATTTTATGGTAATTCATAAAAATATTGTAGTTAATAATCAATTTTTTTTTAAAAATAGCTTTAAAATAACTTGTTCATTTTTGATACTTTGAGGTTAACTTAAATAAGAAGAAATCTCAATTTTTTGCTTTATAACCTAATCAATTATGATATATAGCACGATAGAGGACGTTTTTATCTTTAGTTTGGTGCAAAAATAACACCTTAATCCCCAAAAAGTAAGGTTGAAATGATTTCTTGAGATTATCAATCATTTTGAGGTTAATGAAATGTTTAAAAAATCATACAATCCGTATTTGTTGAAATTAATTGATGATTAATATCGCAAATTGAAGCTAAAATCGCCTATTTTATGGTATTTCATAAAAATATTGTAGTTAATAATCAAATTTTTTTGAAAAATAGCTTTAAAGTAACTTGTTCATTTTTGGTACTTTGAGGTTAACTTGAATAAGAAGAAATCTCAATTTTTTGCTTTATAACCTAATCAATTATGATAAATAGCACGATAGAGGACGTTTTTATCTTTAGTTTGGTGCAAAAATAACACCTTAATCCCTAAAAATAAAGTTGAAATGATTTTTTGAGATTATCAATCATTTTGAGGTTAATGAAAAGTTTAAAAAATCGTACAATCTGTATTTGTTGGAATTAATTGGTGATTAATATCGCAAATTGAAGCTAAAATCGCCTATTTTATGGCAATTCATAAAAATATTGTAGTTAATAATCAAATTTTTTTGAAAAATAGCTTTAAAGTAACTTGTTCATTTTTGATACTTTGAGGTTAACTTAAATAAGAAGAAATCTCAATTTTTTGCTTTATAACCTAATCAATTATGATAAATAGTACGATAGAGGACGTTTTTATCTTTAGTTTGGTGCAAAAATAACACCTTAATTCCTAAAAATAAAGTTGAAGTAATTTTTTGAAATTATCAATAATTAATTGGCTGCTTTGGTTCCGCAGTTCTTGGACGATGTCTCTTAGGTTTTTGCGGTGTTATAAGTTTGATAAGAAAATTGTTTGGGCAGCTGAACTGTTTTATGAAATTATGTACCAAAATAGAAGTATTATAGAAAGCAGCTAACCCTGCACATCATCTTGCGTTAATTTTGGAGTTTTTCCATTTTACAGATTCTTTAGTTCGGCAAAAATGAAAGCGAAAGCGAGTTTTATAATTTGGCCAAAGTATATCAAGAGATTTTCTTGTTGTTTGTAATGTTGTTTAGACCTCGAGAATGCCAAAACTTTGTGAACCCTAGTATCTCATTTAAAATGGACGCAAGCAGTAACTTTGGCCCCAAGTAACAAGAACATTAAGACCACAAGAAATTTGAAACACTATTAATGCAATAATTAATATGAAAAAGTTTTTTGTAATTTTAAAAACATATTAGGAAAATTGTGTATCAAAATGATAATAAACCCGGAAACTTTGGTAAACAGACGAAACACCCTCCCAAGACGGAGAACGTAAATTTTATGTGACGTAAAGCGTTTATTCTGAAGACGCCGGGCGACCTTTCGGATAGACAGTTGTCCGCTTTATCTGAACGATAATAAAACTTCTCTTCCTTGTTCCAGGGGATAGCCTCTTTCATATCTTATTCAGCTGACGCCGGAATTTGCATAGCTATTACCGAGAAGATTCTACGTAATTCTCGAACGGACGATTTTGACAGGATTATCGAAAAGCTCAACCAGAAACCGCAAGCAAAAGCTGTCGTTCTATTTGTTGATGAAGACAATACAAGGTATGTACTACCACTTTCTTTTTAAGTAAATTTATTTAATTCATTTCAAACTTTATAGGATCTTGATGTATATCCTTTTTACGATTTGATTTGAATTTATGGAAATTTCCGAGAAAATCTTCGCGATATAACTTTAACTCAAAAGTTTCGAGTTAAAAACTTTTAGATAAGCTCCCTAGAAACGTATATCGAGTTTTAATTACGATTATAAATGGAAAATTCGCCTTACAACTCGAATCGATTCTATTGTTCTAGGAAACTCCTTCAGGCCTCTATCAGAGCTAACAAAACGGGACACTTCTTGTGGATCGGAAGCGATTCTTGGGGAGCTAAAGTCCATCCGGTTAGAGATCAAGAATTCGCCGCAGAAGGTGCAATCACGATTTTACCCCATCGCACCGCCATAAAAGGTAATCACTTCAAGTATTTTAATAATTAAGTATTATGTTGAAACCATTGTTAAATAAATGCTTGATGAAATCGGTGGAAAATTATAGGGACGTAAACATAAAATATGTTTTGATGTTTCTGAAAAGAGGAAATTAACGGAGATTGTTATTACCGTTATTATTATTTTATTACGAATTATATTGCGCGCTTGCGACGACCCCAATCGTTAAATATTCAAAACAACGGAATCCGTTATTGGAAACCGCTCGTCGGTCGAATACCAATTACAACTAACGTCTATCAACGTTTGCATTCAATTACGGCCCGCTTTCATCCAACTCACCTAGCATAATGATAAAAAAAATATTTCGATTTAATCATAACATTGATTACATTTGTACGGCATCAAAAACGTCAAACAAACCATGTTAATTCAAGCTTCCACTCTTTTTCCGAATTTTTTTGTTCAATTTATATTTATATTATGTTTACTTCAAATAGCCCGCTAATAAATTAACTTGTCGTATTAGTATTTTCCAATATATTGAGTTTTTAATTAAGAATGCGCCACCTGCATTGTTAGGAATATGTGATCGAATGCATACTTTTCATATCCAGATTACATGGATGTTACAATGCATACCTATACCGTATAAGCCTTGTATTAATTAATGTAATTTAAGGCGCAAAACATTCCCTAATTATTACTTAAACATTTTTAGTATAAAATGTCTCATAAATAAGAAGAAATCTCAATTTTTTGCTTTATAACCTAACCAATTATGATATATAGCACGATAGAGGACGTTTTTATCTCTAGTTTGGTGCAAAAATAACACCTTAATCCCCAAAAATAAAGTTAAACTGATTTTTTGAGATTATCAATCATTTTGAGGTTAATGAAATGTTTAAAAAATCATATAATTTGTATTTGTTGGAATTAATTGGTGATTAATATCGCAAATTGAAGCTAAAATCGTCTATTTTATGGTAATTCATAAAAATATTGTAGTTAATTATCAAATTTTTTTGAAAAATAGCTTTAAAGTAACTTGTTCATTTTTGATACTTTGAGGTTAACTCAAATAAGAAGAAATCTCAATTTTTTGCTTTATAACCTAATCAATTATGATATATAGCACGATAGAGGACGTTTTCATCTTTAGTTTGGTGCAAAAATAACACCTTAATCCCTAAAAATAAAGTTGAAATGATTTTTTGAGATTATCAATCATTTTGAGGTTAATGCAATGTTTAAAAAATCATACAATCTGTATTTGTTGGAATTAATTGGTGATTAATATCGCAAATTGAAGCTAAAATCGTCTATTTTATGGTAATTCATAAAAATATTGTAGTTAATAATCAAATTTTTTTGAAAAATAGCTTTAAAGTAACTTGTCCATTTTTGATACTTTGAGGTTACCTTAAATAAGAAGAAATCTCAATTTTTTGCTGTATAACCTAACCAATTATGATATATAGCACGATAGAGGACGTTTTTATCTTTAGTTTGGTCCAAAAATAACACCTTAATCCCCAAAAATAAAGTTGAAATGATTTTTTGAGATTATCAATCATTTTGAGGTTAATAAAAAGTTTAAAAAATCGTACAATCTGTATTTGTTGGAATTAATTGGTGATTAATGTCGCAAATTGAAGCTAAAATCGCCTATTTTATGGTAATTCATAAAAATATGGTAGTTAATAATCAATTTTTTTTGAAAAATAGCGCTAAAGTAACTTGTTCACTTTGAGGGTAACTTAAATAAGAAGAAATCTCAATTTTTTGCTTTATAACCTAATCAATTATGATATATAGCACAATAGAGGACGTTTTTATCTTTAGTTTGGTGCAAAAATAACACCTTAATCCCTAAAAATAAAGTTAAAATGATTTTTTGAGATTATCAAACATTTTGAGGTTAATGAAATGTTTAAAAAATCATACAATACGTATTCGTTGGAATTAATTGGTGATTAATATCGCAAATTGAAGCTAAAATCACCTATTTAATGGTAATTCATAAAAATATTGTACTTAATAATCAAATTTTTTTGAAAAATAGCTTTAAAGTAACTTGTTCATTTTTGATACTTTGAGGTTAACTTAAATAAGAAAAAATCTCAATTTTTTGCTTTATAATTTAATCAATTATGATATATAGTACGATAGAGGACGTTTTTATCTTTAGTTTGGTGCAAAAATAACACCTTAATCCCTAAAAATAAGGTTGAAATAATGTTTTGAGATTATCAATCATTTTGAGGTTAATGAAATGTTTAAAAAATCATACAATCTGTATTTGTTGGACTTAATTTTTGGTTAATATCGCAAATTGAAGTTAAAATCGCCTATTTTATGGTAATTCATAAAAATGTTGTAGTTAATAATCAATTTTTTTTTTAAAATAGCTTTAAAGTAATTTGTTTATTTTGATATTTTGAGGGTAACTTAAATAAGAAGAAATCTCAATTTTTTGCTTTATAACCTAATCAATTATGATATATAGCACGATAGAGGACGTTTTTATCTTTAGTTTGGTGCAAAAATAACACCTTAATCCCTAAAAATAAAGTTGAAATGATTTTTTGAGATAATCAATCATTTTAAGGTTAATGAAAAGTTTAAAAAATCGTACAATCTGTGTGTGTTGGAATTAATTGGTGATTAATATCGCAAATTGAAGCTAAAATCGCCTATTTTATGGTGATTCATAAAAACATTGTAGTTAATAATCAAATTTTTTTGAAAAATAGCTTTAAAGTAACTTGTCCATTTTTGATACTTTGAGGTTAACTTAAATAAGAAGAAATCTCAATTTTTTGCTTTATAACCTAATTAACTATGATATATAGCACGATAGAGGACGTTTTTATCTTTAGTTTGGTGCAAAAATAACACCTTAATCCCTAAAAATAGGGTTGAAATGATTTTTTGAGATTATCAACCATTTTGATGGTAATGAAAAGTTGAAAAAATCGTATAATATGTATTTGTTGGAATTAATTGGTGATGAGTATCTCAAATTGAAGCTAAAATCGCCTATTTTATGGCAATTCATAAAAATATTGTAGTTAATAATCAATTTTTTTTGAAAAATAGCTTTAAAGTAACTTGTATTTTTGATACTTTGCGGTTAACTTGAATAAGAAGAAATCTCAATTTTTTGCTTTATAATCTAATCAATTATGATATATAGCACGATAGAGGACGTTTTTATGTTTAGTTTGGTGTAAAAATAACACCTTAATCCTTAAAAATAAAGTTAAAATGATTTTTTGAGGTTATTATTCATTTTGAGGTTAATGAAAAGTTAAAAAAATCGTATTTGTTGTAATTAATTGGTGATTAATATCGCAAATTGAAGCTAAAATCGCCTATTTTATGGTAATTCTTAAAAATGTCTTAGTTAATAATCAAATTTTTTTGAAAAATAGCTTTAAAGTAACTTGTTCATTTTTGATACTTTGAGGTTAACTTAAATAAGAAGAAATCTCAATTTTTTGCTTTATAACCTAATCAATGCTGATATATAGCACAATAGAGGACGTTTTTATCTTTAGTTTGGTGCAAAAATAACACCTTAATCCCTAAAAATAAAGTTGAAATGATTTTTTGAGACTATCTATCATTTTGAGGTTAATAAAAAGTTTAAAAAATTGTACAATCTGTATTTTTTGGAATTAATTGGTGATTAATATCGCAAATTGAAGCTAAAATCGCCTATTTTATGGTAATTCATAAAAATATTGTAGTTAATAATCAAATTTTTTGGAAAAATAGCTTTAAAGTAACTTGTCCATTTTTGATACTTTGAGGTTAACTTAAATAAGAAGAAATCTCAATTTTTTTCTTTATAAGCTAATCAATGCTGATATATAGCACAATAGAGGACGTTTTTATCTTTAGTTTGGTGGAAAAATAACACCTTAATCCCTAAAAATAAAGTTGAAGTGATTTTTTGAGATTATCTATCATTTTGAGGTTAATAAAAAGTTTAAAAAATCGTACAATCTGTATTTTTTGGAATTAATTGGTGATTAATATCGCAAATTGAAGCTAAAATCGCCTATTTTATGGTAATTCATAAAAATATTGTAGTTAATAATCAAATTTTTTGAAAAATAGCTTTAAAGTAACTTGTTCATTTTTGATACTTTGAGGTTAACTTAAATAAGAAGAAATCTCAATTTTTTCCTTTATAACCTAATCAATTATGATATATAGCACGATAGAGGACGTTTTTATCCTTAGTTTGGTGCAAAAATAATACCTTAATCCCTAAAAATAAAGTTGAAATGATTTTTTGAGATTATCAATCATTTTCAGGTTAATGAAAAGTTTAAAAAATCACACAATCTGTATTTGTTGGAATTAATTGGTGATTAATATCGCAAATTGAAGCTAAAATCGCCTATTTTATGGTAATTCATAAAAATATTTTAATTAATAATCAAATTTTTTTTTAAAATAGCTTTAAAGTAACTTGTTCATTTTTGATACTTTGAGGTTAACATAAATAAGAAGAAATCTCAATTTCTTGCTTTATAACCTAATCAATTATGATATATAGCACGATAGAGGACGTTTTTATCTTTAGTTTGGTGCAAAAATAACACCTTAATTCCTAAAAATAAAGTTGAAATGATATTTTGAGATTATCAATCATTTTGAGGTTAATGAAAAGTTTAAAAAATCACACAATCTGTATTTGTTGGAATTAATTGGTGATTAATATCGCAAATTGAAGCTAAAATCGCCTATTTTATGGTAATTCATAAAAATATTTTAATTAATAATCAAATTTTTTTTTAAAATAGCTTTAAAGTAACTTGTTCATTTTTGATACTTTGAGGTTAACATAAATAAGAAGAAATCTCAATTTCTTGCTTTATAACCTAATCAATTATGATATATAGCACGATAGAGGACGTTTTTATCTTTAGTTTGGTGTAAAAATAACACCTTAATCCCTAAAAATAAAGTTAAAATGATTTTTTTGAGATTATCAATCAT